TTTAGGTTTTGATTAATCGAAATTTTGAATTAATGAAGTTTAATCGTGCAGAATAATTCATTTTCATCACAAAATCGGACTGCAAAATCGATTGCCAACACAAACCCTAAATAAGCGGAAGAAAAAAAAAAACAATGAATAAGAGAACAAACCACGTTTTTATTCGCGTCGAATCTCTCTCTTAGGGCATCGGCCTGAAAAAAAAAACACGGGCGAACAAATAAACAGAGAGACGGAAAACCCCATCGTTACAACGAATCAAACAGAAATTTGAGTTCATGTATATAAACTATTTTTTAAAATCGATAAAATGCAGAGATCGAATAAATGCTGCAACGATTTAGGTTATAGATGGAGAAAAAGAGGAATTACATCATGATAAAAGAGGTGGCGATGGACGGCCCAATTGAGAGTGTCCTTGAGAGCTCGCCTGTAGAGGATCCTTACCCTCTCCTTCTGCGCTGCTCGTCGAGCCAGATACGACCCCGTAGCCAAACTCATTTTTCTCTTCTCTCTCTCTCTCTCTCTCTCACTCTCCCTTTCTCTCTCTTAATGTAAATCTGTGCGGTTTCTAATTCTCAATTTTGCCAGAGTATGGCTTTGGCCTAAACGACGACGTTTCTATCAGGCGTGAAACGACGCCGCTTTGGATTACATAGAGTTTTGTGGTTTACATTTGAGTTGGGCCTGTGAGTTAGTTGGGCCTGATAGTATAACGTTTTACGGTTTTAATATAAGTTGGGCCTAACTGAGAAACTATTTCGGGCCGTTGACTTCATTTATTAAATTAAATTATTTATCACGCGATTTCTGAAATTCTGCAATTGAAGGCCAGTATATAATTTTAACGTAAGGAATTTCTTTTCTGATTGATTAAATTATAAATAGATTTACTCAATGCTACACCGATCATTTGTGTATGTATGCGCAGCAAATTCACATCTTATGCACATTCACACATGCAGCTTCCACATTCCCAGACGTATATGTATACGACGATATAAATCTACGTGTATTTCATCCAATACGACCAAACAAACAGACACCACGGTCGAGCTCGAATAAAAAGAATTCTCGTTTAACAAATCATTCGATGAACCACTTCATTCGAATAAAACAATACTAATGCAACTTAGTCGGAATTAATCACAACTGTACTAACTTAATACAATATGCGAATATCACATCACACTCGAAAACCAAAACTACTTCCAATAGCTCCAACTCTACCACAAGTGGTTGTCAAATCATAATTAAGAAAACTCAAAAGTTTAATTAATCTAAATCCCATTTATAAGCTCTGTTTGTTTACCTTATCGACTGCGCTACCACTTCACAAAAGAGACGACATACTGTTTTTCCAAGTAAAGGATCTTCGGACAATACGAGGAGGTGTGAAGCTAAGCCCAAACATCTCCTTAATGGCCTGCCCATGCTCTGAGAAACCGATAAGCTTTGCAACAATGGCAGCACTTTTTGAGACATGGTCCGTATTTTCAGTGTCGCTCCATAAAAGATGGACTAACTGCAACCTCCTCTTCTTCGAATTCAGACTGATGCCCCACTCTTCGTAAATTCTATTTCTTTCGTCTTCTGTGTGTCTTTTATACATAAGCCTGCTAAGCATCTCCCTTTCACGACGAAGAGCTTTCTTGCTGTTATTCAAGCATATATATAATTGGAAAAAATTAGTCCAAGAAATCAATTCAGGCTTTCCAACACGCATTAATGGTGTAAGGACATAACGGTAATTTAGAAATTACCTTGTGTGCGTGTGTGTGTGTGTGTGTGTGAGAGAGAGAGAGAGAGAGAGAGAGAGAGAGAGAGAGAGAGAGAGAGAGAGAGAGAGAGAGAGAGAGATTAGAAAATTACCTTGATGCCAGAGTGAGCGCTCGGCCGTCTTGTAAGGCTGAATTGCCCTTGGAAAATGTTTCGTTTAGGAAGGATAGTCTCCTATGCTCTAACTCCATGTAAATGGAGTCTGTGAAGTCCTCTTTAATAAGGAGGATAAAGTAAGTCCTGTGTATTAACGAAACATTACAAGCTTCCCATAGTTCAATTATCGATTTCTGCAGCTTCTCAAACTTCAGCGGCCAATCATTGCTTTGCTCCATATCAACATCTCTGCCATCACTTTCTCTCTTTCCTGTATCCTGAACCTAAGAAATTAAAGTAAATAAAAAAAATATTCACATAAAAGAAATAAAAAAAATATTCCGAAAAGGCTGTAATTTCTCTCACCTGATTCACAGCTTGGTTTTCATATTGAAGCTTTGCCATCTCTCTAAGTCCAGCGACAAAAGAACCGAGAGTAGGGATATCCTCATCCCCGTTAATGAAGTTCTGATTTTTCATTTCATCTATGAGACTGCTACAATCAGAGTATTGAGAATCGTTAATACTTAGTCTCGTATTATCTAAACCATACATCACTGGAGGAAGTTTCCACTGCTTCCTAATGAAGTGATTCTCCAACACAGAAGGGGGTGTGCTTTCACTTTGTTCAGCCGTTTCAATATCAGGGGAGCAAGTCCTTAAATTAGCTCTACAACTTTGACTTTTTGTCAATCTCAAGCTCTTCGAATCTGTAATACTAGTTGATCGAACTTTTTGCTCATTTGAGTAAACATTTTCAGTGCCACTTACTTGTCCAGGTGAAGGAAGTAACATTTCTTGTTCCATAGTGTGACCATTTTCATGCTCCGTTAATGTTTGTGTCGTTTCTCCATCGTTGTTAGTTGAGACGACAAATGATTCATATGTTCTGTCTTGGCTAGATTCATCCATCTCGATGCATCGAACTTCTTTACAGTTGTCATCAGTTCCCTGTATACCTTCACTTGGATTAGATGTAGCGTCCGATGAATAATGATCCTCACTGTTCTCTGAAAGCAATGAGTCTGATGTTTCATTACAACTAATTTCTCCATCAAGAGGTAGAATTCCACTGGGTTTTTGTGAACTCTTGTTGATTTCGGCGGCTCTTATTAAATCCTCAATTCGAGAACGAGAAATGTCCTGTTGCTTCTTCAGCTCCCTAACCTCTTTCTCCAACTGCAGATAGTGTGAGCCAGGCAATGAGGTTAGGATGCAGTATAGTTTATAATGAAAGATAATGCATCATTACAAGATCCAGTCACTTTACTGTCTCAAAATGGTATTTATCGGAATGAATTTGAGGAATAACTCATTCAATTATTTAATGTGTAGAAACATCAACAGCTTTATATTAATCAAATAAGAAAAAGTTAGAATTAAGACATTACATATTAAATGAAAAAAATCCTTTTTTCTTGAGTAATGAAAAAAAATCTAGATATGCTGGTTTCATGGAAGATTCACCATCCCAAGTAATGGTGCAACCATGATTAAGTAATACTGGTTACTAGAATCAACATGAACTATTGGAATTTAGCAAAGTTAATTCCTGACCTGATTGTCACGTTTTATAACCAATAAACTTCTCCTAAACCCCATATCAGAATCTATACTGTTCAAAATAAAGTTGAAATAACAAATAATCCTTAAAAACATGTCAAAAGACCAATGATGTATTCAATTTCATTCAAAATAATAATAAATAAATAAATAATAATAACCTTTTCAATCTGCATATCTTTCTTTCTCAACAATTCTGCATGATTGCACATAGATCCTGGAGTTCTTAACTCAATCTCCAACCTAGCTACCTCTTTCTGCAGATGTTTCACTAAAGCCTTATCAGACAGCACTACATTGACTTGCGCATTCGTTGATACTTCCTTTGCACAACTAGCAAATAGAAGTGTATTCCTTGATTGGTCAACATGGCTTCTGGTAGGATTCAAGTTGCAAATGATAGCAGTTCTTGCATTTCCTCCCAAGGCAGGCTGCAGTATACGTGTTAGCTTTGAGTCTCTGTAATTGACGTGGCCCTGTCGTCCTTTACTGCATTAAGCGATACAAGTAAAAAACTGATATGGCTGGAGTTGTGAAACACAAACGGTATATAGTGGAACTGACATGACATGCCACTACAGTAGATTAGGACCCCAAAAGGACAATTATGCATGCATATGGATCTCGGCTTTACCTACAGAACAGGTCTCTGAGTGTGTGTGTGTGTGGTGAGGGGGTGGTGGTGGAGGGGGTAAGGTTGCAAGAAAGTACAAATGAAAGCATAAAGAATCTCAATTTCATTCATTAGTACCAAAAACGACAATTGGCATATCAATTATCAGACAGCAAAGACATACTGAAGGGAGATCAAGAGAACCAATTAACCTTAGCTTGCGAATGACAGTCCCCAGAGTCAGTAAACTACGGTTTATATGGCAGCCTTCTTTCAGTCTTTGTCCAACTGATAAAGCTTGAGACGCCCGCTCACTTCCAGCTAAATCAACAAAGTTCTGCAGAAAAAAAAATAGAACTTATTATGAAAGCCTTTATATATATATTTAAACCACTGAAATCAGTTGCATTGATTCCTAAGAAATTCATCAGCTAATTCAATTTTGCTATACCACGCTAGCAGCAAGGGTAGTTGAGTTGCCCTTCCCTAAAAACTCGCGAGCAGAGCTTTCAATTGTCTGGAGAATCAGATCAAAAAGATATACCATGAGTTTCAATTGATTTCTAAAACCGAAAATGAAGTGGAAAAAGAGGTGATTTACCAATCTAAGAATCTGGTGAGATCTAGAACTTGTTTCATTCAATAAGGTCTCTCCAATTTGTCTTTGTGCTACGTAAAAGTTAAGAGAAAAACATAAATAAAAGTATGTTCTCAACAAACCAGTGATAGAATCATTAACATGTACCAAAGGGAAATTATCCTACCTGCACAGATGGATAACAGCTCCTTGAGGTGATTCCGATCCCTCAATGTTTCTTCTGTAAGTTTCTCTATGATAGTCCCCTTCTACAAAATTATGGGAGAAAAATAAACAAATGTAGATGCAGAATAAGGGGAAATTAAAAACTCGAAAACGAAAACTTACTTCTGGATCATCCATGAGCCTCAGGGGAGTGTTATCCGTGCTAAGGAGGTCTCTAACAACTTCATTATAAATCTCCATAGCTGAAAACTTTAAAGCAAATGCTCTTTCTTCATGCTGGGAAGAGAGAAAGCACAAAACCATTGAAAAAAAAAAGTTGCATAGAGACTTCACTTACAAGTGAAATAGAGAACACTTTAAAAAACAGTCTGATATCTTCCAGTATGATCAAAATTGGAATTAAACATGCGCACCCTTAGTATGTAATCATAAATATCAGCCACCGCATACTCGGTGATTCCATTCATAGTATATGTCTTTCCACTGCTTGTTTGGCCATATGCAAAAATTGTTGCTGAAAATGAAAAAGATTTTCAGAAATAGTCAAAAGCATCCGTTTTCCACGTAACAAATAGAGAACTGATAAGAAATTAAATATCTGGGAAACCCATGAATATAATACTCACAGTTTATTCCACCAACAACTGATAGAGCAATGTCCTTTGTGCCTTCGTCATAAATTTCTCTAGTCGTGCAGTCACCCCTAAATACTCTGTCTACCCCCATGAACATAAATGGAAAACATAAAAGAAAGAGCAACAGATGAACGTATCAGAAGAGCAATAACATATTTGTAACTACAAAGTGTATATCGACGCAAAAGAAGACAAAAAAGCGAGAAACTAGAAGACAAACTTCCAAATCATCCATTCTAAAAAGAATACTACTAGGAGATGTAATTTATTTCATATTAAATGTAAGTATGATCCGAAACATATTTACTACTTACCAAACGAGTAAGCTGTGGGAAGTCCAGACCGCTCCTGAAGGCTATTACGGTACAAAATGGTGGTGGGATTGATGCATTCCCAATCCGCAACTTCACTCCGTGCAATCTCCTTCTCACTCAAAGGCCTTAACCTAACCAACACCAAAATCTTTTCTTCCTTTCCACTCCCTATACCTTGCAGCTTCTCCCAATTCAGCAACTCTTCAGCACCAATCGCCCCCATTTTTTTTATCACACCTATCAAATCCACTCCAATCACACCTAATACGAAATTCCCATAACCGAAACTTATTCACAAAAACCCCAAACAAATAAGATACAATGTACCTTTCTTTGCTACCCAAAAAGGCGAGACAGTTAGGCTAAAAAAGAACAGGGTAGTTGATCTTGCAATAGAACTAAATTTCCCAAGCACTCCAACTGCATTGTTTATCTGCAACAGAACGAGCTAATTATAAACATGATTATCCTAAAAAGTGTAATTATTCAGGAGTTGGTTGTGATTAAGAACTTGCTTAATGTATATTTTCAGCATTTTTCTTCAAACAAAAACCTAAAAGATTCCATTTCTTTAGATAAAAGAAGGAAAAAAATAAACATAAGATAGCTTTGCTTGATGGGGACCCCCCCCCCCCCAACTATATATCCTTCGACTCCAAGTAATGATGCTTTTCTTTGTACTTCTATTTTTATTTGCTCCAAAAGGTTTGTGAGAACACGTATAGTGGACCCTGATTAAACACACGCATAAATACATTTATTATGTATATACTAAACGACACACCATTTATCTATTGTTTGGTAGTGAAGTTGAAAGCAAATCCACCTTCAGATTAGGGTTTGTAATTGAATCGCAAGGGAAGCTTCGCTTGTTGTGAAGTCAAAACAAATCCAAAAAGTCTTCAATTGAAAAAATAGCCATAATTCACTAAAAACAGTGAAAAAATGCAGGAATTTCATAAATTATGAACAGTGTTCAATTTTTTAACAGTAATCCAGCATATTTTCGTAATTTGCTCCTAAAAAGTAAATATTCCGTTCTAAAGTTATTTATTTTTTATTATTTTTTTAAACTACAGAACTCGAAGCGTGAACTTCAAAGATTAAAAACGACGTTTGAGATCAATCAACTAAAAAGGTGTATATACTTTACGCATCAGATAAAGTTAATTAGCGGCGAAAAAAATAAATTAATAATTAAAACCAAAAAGGAAGAAGATGAAAAGAAGAAACCACCACACAGTACGGCGAAAATCGGCGGAAAAATCAAAATGTCTTACCTCCGCCGCCTCTGCACACGCGATCTCAGTAAAACAATTTCAAAACAACCAAAAACCGCATTGCTCCTCAACTTCTTACAGCAGCTCTCTCTCTCTCTATGTATGTATACTGTAAATATCTACATACGCAGACACAAAACACGCAGAACACACAGTGACAGTGTGAAGGGGGGGCGGTGGGGAACGGTGGAGAGTGTCAACGTTATATTTGTTTGCGCCACCGGGAAGAGAGAGACACGGAGAGAGTGGGGAATGACGGTTATGCCCTTGGGTGTTTTCTGGTTTAGAAAGGCGTGGGTGATAGGCACACGTGGCCACGTGAGTGTACGTATTGATTGGAGCGTATTATACGGGGTAACGGGAAGTATTCACTTGACCGTTGTGTGTGTGTTCCGTCTCTGGGGCCATGTCATTATCAACAAAAATACTTGGATCAGGTTTTAATTAACCAATTGTTTTTCAAATTTCTTGTATAAATAAAAAAATTAAGAATTGTTTTGACCAAAATCTATAATAATTTAAGTTAGATCATATGTATTTTAACATGATTTAAAATTTTGTTGGATTGTGCCATCTAATTATACACATTTATTTATATGCAATGGCGGAACCAGCATAGGGTCGGGGTCAATGCCCCCAAATAATTCTTGAAATCCCTGTATTATTTTTTTATGTAAAGATTTAAAAACATAGTGTATAATTAGTAAAATCGGCCACCTCTTTAAAATATTAATATATTTAGCCCCGCAAACTTAATTATTTAACTATTGGCCACGCTAGAAAAAATAAATTAGCAAAGGCTGATTGTAAATGATTTCACCACACAAGGGTAACATGGTGAAATCATTGAATTTGTCCATCGCGTGATGCTCTTAACCTTTTTCCAATGAATAAAATTAAAGTTTGGATAACATTTAAGAAATATAATTTTATCATGATAAATAATATTTTAAGTGACAAAATATATTCTAAGTCAAATTAGATGGTTGGCAAGTCAATATATTTGTTTACAAAATATAATAATTATCTTAAGATGATATTATTAAATTATTAATAAAATATTGACTTTGCAATGAGGATTGGTTTGGCTAATATATAGTTAGTGGTCTCCACTAAATCTAACATACCGGACAATGGTTTGGATGGGTTGGCCAAATCAATGATTAAAATGTTTTTAATATATAATTTAATTATATTAGCGGAATTGACATAATTTTAAATTTAAGAAAGAATTTGCCTTTAATTATTGCAAGCTTAGTCCTTAGACATGCCATACCTATCATTTTATACATAATTCCAAGCAATTCAACTATATTAATGTCAATATGTAAATAACGATGTTTTATCCAACTTACCAACTAAGATAAATGAAAGGAAATGTCAAAATGAAAAATGTTTTGAGTTAGCTTACACATTTGGTTGTGTTGGTGATCCACCAATAAGAATAAGTATTATTTATCTATACAATCAATTGATACGGGATCACTCGAGATGAGTAGTTCAAAGGTTTAAGTGTACGATACTTGTTCGTCTTTCCTGTAAAACCACTTAATATATTATGTGAAACGTCAGGAGTTTCCCACCGATTACACCTTAAATCAGATGATGTTGTGTGTTGATAAGTAACTAAATACTAGAAAGCAACTGAGTCAATAAAAAAATGTGTACCTTAAAACGTTGATTGTACTGAAGATTAAATAGATAAAAACTCATAATAACTTTTTTACTATTAAATCAATGCTGGATGAAATCAATTCCTTTTATTTTAATTATAATGAATAAGCCGCATCGTCAATGAAATTCATAATATTATTAATTAATTAAAATAGATTTATATATGCAGTAGTGCACTATTGTTTAATAAATTAGGAGAATTAAATGGATCAATGTGGAATGGCATTTGGGCCACTTAATGGGCTTCAATTAGGGCCTAACCGTAACAAATTACAATGACCCACGTGGGTTTCGGGCCTTACTGTACTTCAAATTTTAATATGATTTCATTTCATATATAAAATAATTGAAACGTATATATAGTTATCCACCTAATGCTACCCCAACGTAATACAGTGAAATTATGTCTAAAAATGTTGGAAAAAAAATCAGATGAACAATTTGAAAAATATAAGACGAATTTTTTTTTTCTTTTCATTTAAGACATAGTTCACTGCAGCAATCAATATCTACGTTACCAATGTGCCAATGAAATAGCACCTAACAGATTGTTAGCTAGTGTGTATCATCTTACCAGTATGATCAACAACTTATCAAAATCTCTAAAAAAAATGGTTAATTATTGAGTTAAAAATAGGAAGAAATGGTTAGGAAAAAATATTGGTGGGGGCAAAAAAGATATGAAATTGATGGAGGAGAATGGTTAGAGGGTTGCTTTCAATCCACATAATCACTTTTGGTGTTTGTGGCTATGAATTAGTAATATCGGTACGCCAAACACAACTTTGTGTTAGTACTATTTGTCTAACATTGGTACACAAAACTTCACCTTGACTTTTTCAATCAATTAACATTAAACACATTTGTTTGCTATATATAATTTGGGTCTTGTTTGTTTGTTTGTGGACCAAACTTAACCAAACCCTTCAAAACTAGTCTCATATCACTCATTCTCATTCGACCTTCTCGATGTTTCTTTCATTAGCTGGACCCCTTCCCTTTTTTGTTTTTCCATATTTGCCCTTTATCTTAATAAATATTCGTTAGAAACAATAATTCGCAGTCAACTATATAGGTGCACTGTATAAACTTACATTCTCATATAATAGCTTGTAAATTATACTGAGAGACGTAAATCACTCTAAGTTAATTATGTGTGACAAACTCGACCTAACGACCGATGCTAATGGGATTCGAACGTGCGTTAATTGACATAATCTCACTTCAGATTCCAAAAGTTACCCGACATGCAAAAAAAAAAAGTTGGAAAAATCTGAAAAAGATTGTTTGATGGATATGATTCGAAATATTCAAATCCTTCGAGATACAATATATTTATGATTTATTATTGAAAGGTATTCTACACTTTTGATTTCCAATCTCTTTTAAATTGATTGGCAATATTTTTATTTCTATTAGAATCTTTTTTTGGACCAAAATGGCCTCAGGAGTCACGATCAAGAAACTTGAACATTAAACAATAAGTCTCCACCTGCTACACCATAACGTATACTAACGTTTTACTATAATGTTTTATTTATTTATTTATAACGTTATATTAAATAATCATCGAACAATTTGGTCAGAATTTAGTACAGATTGATAAATGAATATTATATCATCATTAAATTGTTTATGACAAATTGCAACATGGGTACAGTGTCGTGAAGGACAAAGGGGGACACCAAACAAAAACATATTTTAGCCATTAGGACATGAAAATTGAAGACCAACACTTGAGGGTCCTTAACTCTTAATCCATTGTTGTCAAAATCTTGATTTTATATACATAATAATGTAACACTTCAAATGTTTTGCTCGACGAAAACAATTATTATGTTAAATTCATCTGCAAAGGATTGTCCGAGTGGTATTGAGGTACGAGGAGTGTAGTACTAGATTAATGGTTATGTTTCATTTGATTATGGCTGTATAGGCCTTTTATAATTAGGCAAATTTATGAACTACTAGAGCTAATAAATTGATTCTTCGTCTACAATTGAATCCTTCATTTTGTACCTCGCCTCTACATAGTGAATTCTCTTATTACCGTCGGTGTTTTTTTCTTCTTTTTTTCTCAAAATGATTTTTTACGTAATGGTGTATAATTTATAATTTTAATTCGTGCTAGTCGTAACAAACTACTTCTATTTTTGAATATTAATTCATAGCCTTACGAAAGAGTAAAAAATAGGTAGTTCCAAATATTATATGATGGCTTTCAATTTCTGAAACAAAATTAGTAAAGTTAGGTGAAGGTAGATAGAGAAATGGAGTTTTCATCTAAATTCATAAGTTTTAAATTTAATATATAGTAATTTACGGTCATCAACTGAGTAATGTCAATTTACGAAAAAAATACTCTTATTTTGATAATTACAATCACTTCGTTCAACTATTAATCTTCTTACACATTCACATTTGCAGTGTCAAATTTAGTGGAATACTCTAGATTATGTGGAATATTCTCCAATTTGTATATGTTTTACCCCATTTGATCTCCACATTTTAATACAATATGAAGATAAGATGTGTCTTTTGGCTTGTAAATATAGACTGTGGTGCATTAGAACTTGCATTTTTACACACAACGAGTACAATCAAAAGTGTATGCCACGGAATCTAAAAAATTGTTTTGAATTTGACACTATAAGGATGGATGCGTAAGAAAATTCATAGATTAAGAGATGATTGTAATTATTCAAACAAGATGAATTTTTTCGTAATTTGACATTAACTAAAGGGGTGGCCGTAATTTACCATTTAATATATTCCTTAAGTAAATTAAATTTAGGAAGCGGAGGGTAAATTAGTAACACAACATAAAGACAATGGTACCTGATTCCTAATTGCCACGTGTCGTCTCGTGACTGCGAATAGTTGTCTCGGTATACACCAGAGCGAGTGAGAGAGCAAAAAGTAGCTCCGCACCGAACGCGCAAATCAACTGGCTCAGAAATTCCGATTTTCTCCTCCATATTCCGATCTCCGGCAACTGAAATATCCTGCCGGAAACCTCATCTTCGATCCCTCCGTCTATCCGTCAACACCGAATTTCACGCAGTAGATGTGATTCAGTGTGTGTTTATGTATGCACACAGTTACTTTTATAACTATTATATCTAATCTATCTTAGAGTGTGTGTGTGTGTTTATCCGGAGATGTTGTATGGACGTTTGTTATTCATGCGTGTGTGTACGGATTGCGAAGTGAAACAGTAATTATTGGATAAGTTGGAAATCAATCGGTTTAATTGGTGATAAATGAGGACACTGTGTGACGTTTGTGAGAGTGCGGCGGCGATTTTATTCTGCGCGGCGGATGAGGCGGCGCTCTGTCGTGCTTGTGATGATAAGGTATTACTCCGATGCCCCTTTGTTTGCATGCATAAGCACGCATGTATGTGTGTGAATCGATTTGTGTTGGATCTAATCGGATTTTCTTTTGTGAATATTTTGTGTTCATTAATTAATTGGTATCTTTTGTTTTGAATGTGTCTTGCTAATTGATTTGTAGTGTTTGGATATGTTTTATTAGATTGCGATGTTTATCGACACAATGTCACAATCTATGCTATTGGAGATTAAGCTTCCCCTTTTCAATTTTCTTTTTTGTGGACTGCAAATTGATATTAAAGTATCATATTCTATCAAGAATTAATTACAACTTCTCTTAAATATTCATAATAGTATGGTTTCCCTAATGTCGGTTTAGTAGATCGTCTTTGTTTTAGTAGTGCTTGTTGATGGTACGTTGCGTAATAAACTTACTCGTCAGATCCCGCTTCTTAGAATCACGAGTTTAGTAATTGTTCTAATTATGGATAGTGCATTGCTTGCAAAAATGTAACTTCTTGCTCTATGAATTCTATGTGGACTAGTATGAACATTTGACAGTATGTTAAGAATGATGCG